TTTTTTGGACTTTGTGGTGATTTTTGTTCCCTAATGTTCCCATACAAACCTCCTAAGACCTTCACTGACCACGTAGATTCATCCTGAGATTAGATTTTCTCTCGACGCTGGTCATGCCACACTGTGAAACCCTCCGCACCAAATCCCACACTCTCACTTCACGAGTCTCACCAGCCGAACGTCGGGCTTTGTGTATGTAGATGAGCATGTGGGCAGCTGCTGAGCTCAGGATGAACACCGACGGCATTTGAATTTATGTTTTCAATGTGGTGCATTTAGAATTTGCAAGAGATATTTGGTCTCTTAAGAGCTCAACCTTACATGATGTCAAATGTATCCACCTGCTTCTCATCATCTCAGGTCCCTACATAGTCTTTAAGGAGGGGGCATCCGCTGACGGAAAAGCGGTTGCTCATCCCTCCTCTCTGCCCCTTTCTCCCACTCTTCCTCCCACTTCACCCTGCTGTTCCTGTCGATGTGGTCTCCCCGACCCTGCAACACCCCTGCCAAGCTCGTGCCGGTAGTACAGTCTGCCTGTACTCTCGCCTTATAAGGGCAAAACACATTGACAGAGGCAGAGAGAAGGGGCCATGCCTCCTCAGGCAGGCAGGTAGGGGGACAGTGGCTCAAGCACTAAGAAAACAAGATGTCATGAAGAAGAAGAAGGAGAAGAAGAAGCGGCGACGAAGGAGAAGAAATGATATAGCTGATGGAGTGCAGTGTGAGAAGGAAATATGCGTTAGGCTGAATTAACTCCTGAGAACAAAGAGGATGTTTTATAGGAGAAGGCCAACACCTCATCATCTTTATAGAAAACATCTAAAGAAAACCTTTTAGAAGCTTAATGTTTTAATGCGCTATATAGATACAATGCATGTTAAAAAGCATGTCGTACTTACAAAACCTTCAAAAAATAATCCATAGCGTGATAGTAACAATATATTAGCAACATTATTGCTTTGTATGGCAGTACTGCAAACACACAGTTGATGGTTATAATGGATGGATCCAAATACATCGCCAGCCTGAACAAATTGTTGCAAACACATTGTGACAGAAAACTTCATATTGGGGGAATGTTCACTTTCCAACAGAACAAAGCCCCCTGAACATCAAACTGGAGCTATGACGTTTTTACATGTTTCCAATGGCTTAGTCAGAGTCTTGACCTGTTGATATTTACAGATGTTCTCGGTCTTCTGACTCAGTTTGATGCTTTTGATGAAGTAAAATGGAAAAAAGTACTGTAATTGGAGAAAAAAAAAAGTGGTTCTTCAAAGTAATGATTCAGGAGGGGGAGTACATTCTGCAAGCAAAAATGTTCAGATATTTATCTGAAAAGTGTTGAGGATGGTCCACCTCGTCCAGTCCCAATAAAAAACTATAGCGTTTCCGATTGTTATCTAACAGGTAACAGTGTCACTGAAGGCATCTAACCACTGTAGGTCACCGAGGGCAAGAAAGCTTAGAATAATGTTGTAACTACAGTGTGCTGCTTTGACAGCATTTTTCTTTAATGTTTATGTATATTGTGTTTACGGACATTTTAAGTTACTTGTAACTGCAGCATATTCAAAGGCTTTTATTTTGAAGAATCCAGTTTGAGTAATTTCCGGTTGTTTTTCTTTGGGCTGCAGCAAGCATGGCTGAGTATTGTTGTGAGTTCAGCGTGTAATCCAGTGCCATCCACAAGAAATTACATTGAAGCAATGCTGTAAGTTACATTTTCTGTTAAGATGCATCTTACTTAAAATATATCTGATGTTATTTTGTTAAAATAACGTTAATTATTGTGATGGATGTTTTATCATCTATATAGTTTCCTCAACTGTAACTAAGATGTGTATTGTTTGTACTCTTTTTGCCTGCAGTTTTCACCGCAGTTTGTGATGAAGGATGTCAACAGTAAATGGTCAAACTTACTTCACGACTTCATCTCGTCATTTTGCTGTGGTTTAGCTCGGTGTTAACTCAAAGAGTTGCTACACTTTGACAAGAACACTACAGTGAAAAAGCAAGATTCAAGGTTTCAAGTGGTCAAAATGGCATCAAGCAGTAAGTCATCTTTGTCCTCCACTACGAAGACATCTAAATCTTCAGCCAGTGTAGCTCGAGCTAGAGCCAAAGCAGAGGCTGCCAAGGTAAGAGCATCATATGCAACCCACGAAGCTAAACTCAAACTGGAGAAGGCTGTCAAAGAGGCAGAAAAAGCTAAAAGAGATGCTGAAAGTCAACTGGAAACTGTACAAATTGACACAGAGCTCGAAATGTTAAAGTTTCAAAAAGAGGCTGCTGCAGCAGCAGTTGAAGCTCAAGTCTTAGAACAGGCTGAGGCAGTTCAGGTTTTGGATGAAACTGGGATGTCTGATTCGGACAAAGTGAAAATTGAACGCATTAAAGAGTATGTTCAGGCTCAAATTGTCCTAAAGAATTCGGATCAAGCTTCTCAACAGGATGCTGACTCACATGTTAAGGACCTTCCAAAAGTGACACACAGTATAAAAACAGGGAAAGCTGAAAGTGTTGAACTTCGTGAACCAGAGTTTTCATCCAAACCTCCTCATCTAAAATCTTGCAACGAAAAAGATAGCCAGCCTTTTTATTCTAACTATGTCCCTTTGGCTGCCAGGCCTAGAGAACCAGGAAATAGGATATTGGCGTCTGAGCCGTTAGCAGAGTTTTTGGCCAGGCGAGACCTTGTCAGTTCAGGTCTGTACCAATTTGATGATAAGCCTGAGAATTATCGAGCCTGGTACTCTTCGTTTAACAGTGCAGTTAGTGAGGTTCGGCTCACAGCAACTCAGGAATTAGACCTTATGACTAAATGGCTTGGAAAAGAGTCAAGTGAACAGGTGAAGCGGCTACGTTCAGTTCATGTTGGAGATCCTCAAGTAGCTTTGAACAAAGCATGGGAGAGACTACGTGAGTGTTATGCTGCTCCAGAGATCATTGAAAAGTCTCTGTTTCAAAGACTGGACAGCTTTCCCAAAATCTCAGCTAAGGATAACGTCAGGTTACGAGACCTTGGGGATTTACTGATGGAGATCCAAGGAGCCAAAGAGGATGGATATCTCACCGGACTTGCATACCTGGATACTTCACGTGGAATCAGCCCAATTATTGAAAAACTTCCCTTTGCACTACAAGAGAAATGGATCTCTGCGGGCTCGTGGTATAAAGAACAAAACCAAGGACGCTTCCCTCCCTTTGACTATTTTTCTGATTTTGTGCGCTGTGAAGCGAAGAAGAGAAATGACCCAAGTTTCATGAGTCAAGGAAACACAAACACGTTTGTCAAATCAGAGAGAGGAATTAGTAAGAGTTTCACCTCACACAAGCCAGTTTTGGTTTCAAAAACTGATGTCTCAACCAACGATGATCTCAGCAAGACTTGTCCACTGCACAACAAACCACATCCTCTTAGGAAGTGCAGGACATTCAGAAATAAATCATTCAGTGACAGGATGGCCTTTCTGAAGGAGAAAGGAATTTGTTTTAAGTGTTGCTCCTCTGTCTCACATTTTGCTCGAGATTGTAAAGCCTTCTTAAAGTGTTCTGAGTGCAGCAGTGTAAATCATGATACAGTCATGCATCCTGAGCCATCCGCCAAGCCGGTCAGATTACCTTCACCCCAACAGGACAATGGCGGGGAGGGCGATGGTCAGGTTAATGAGGATATTGTTTCGAACAGTTGTACAGAAGTTTGTGGTCCAAGTGCGTTCGGGCGATCATGTTCAAAAATCTGCCTTGCAAAGGTTTATCCCAGTCATTCCAGGCATATGGCAATTAAAACTTATGTCATCTTGGATGACCAGAGTAATCGCTCCTTAGCTAGACCAGAGTTCTTTGAACAATTTAAAGTAGAGAGCAAACCCTTCACATATCACCTTCGTACATGTTCAGGCATGATTGAAACATCTGGCAAAAGGGCAGAAGGATTTCAGATTGAATCGATGGATGGAAAGGTTCAGATCTCACTCCCACCACTCATCGAATGTCCAGAGATTCCAAATAACCGATCTGAAATTCCGACACCAAGTGCGGTACAACATCAACCTCATCTCTGTCACATGGCAGATCAAATTCCAGAACTGGATCCAGATGCAGAAATCTTACTTCTGCTTGGAAGGGATGTTTTAAGAGCACACAAGGTTAGGCAGCAGGTTAACGGACCACACAACGCCCCTTTTGCTCAACGTTTGGATTTAGGCTGGGTTGTTATTGGAGAAGTTTGTCTTGGGGATGTACATAGGCCAGTGATAAGCACATACAAGACAAATGTGTTGAAAAGTCATCGTCATTCAATTTTTCCACCCTGTACAAGCCACATTCATGTTAAAGAAAGTGATGAAACTCTTAGCAGATTCACCCAACCAGAAACGATGCTTGGGAGCCAAGTATTTGTCCAAACAGAGAATGACAACAAGCCTGGTCCATCTCGGGAAGATACAGTGTTCCTACATATAATGGAAAAGAGCGTTTACAAAGGCGAAAGCAACAACTGGGTTGCTCCCCTTCCATTCAGGGAACCACGTCAACGACTACCTGATAATAAAGAGCAAGCAGTCAAACGGTTTCTATCCCTGCAGCGAACTCTTGAAAGAAAACCTGAAATGCAGAGCCAGTATGTGACCTTTATGGAGAAAATATTCACCAATGGACATGCAGAGTTAGCTCCACCGTTGAAAGAAGGGGAAGAGTGTTGGTACCTCCCTACGTTCGGGGTTTATCATCCACAAAAACCCAACAACATCAGGGTGGTTTTTGATTCCAGTGCCCAGTACTTGGGAATCTCCCTTAATGATGTACTTCTCTCAGGGCCTGATCTTAACAATTCTCTTGTTGGTGTACTGTTACGTTTTAGGAAAGAAAAGATTGCAATAATAGCAGACATCCAACAGATGTTTTATTGTTTCCAAGTGTGTGAAGACCACCGCAATTTTCTGCGTTTCTTATGGCACAAAGACAATGACGTCAACAAGGAAGTAGTGGAATATAGAATGAAGGTCCACGTTTTTGGGAACAAGCCATCTCCAGCTGTGGCTATATATGGGCTTCGGAGAGCCATCAGAGAAGGAGCGCAAAGGTTTGGTGCTGATACCGTTGACTTCGTAGAAAGGCATTTTTATGTGGATGACGGTTTAATGTCCGTACCATCTGAGGCTGATGCAATTGACCTTCTGCAACGGACAAAAACCTCACTGGCTGAGTCAAACATTCGCCTACATAAGTTTGTGTCGAACAGTCCATCAGTCACAGAAGCTTTTCCGCCAGAGGACTGTGCGCTGATGACGAAGGACCTCGATCTGGAACAAGAAGCTACACCCACTCAGCGCAGCTTGGGTCTGCTTTGGGAGATTACGACTGACATGTTCACTTTCTCAGCATCTGCTACAAGCAAACCATTCACTCGTCGAGGAGTTCTCTCTACTGTTAACAGCATATTTGACCCCTTGGGGTTACTGGCACCTGTTACCATCTACGGAAGGGCTCTTCTCAGGGAACTTGCAACTGAACCGAATGAATGGGATAGCCCACTACCAGAAGAAAAGCGTCAAAAATGGGAATCCTGGAGGGATTCACTCCAAGACCTGAGGCAGCTTCATGTTCCTCGGATGTACACACAGACATCACTCAGTACAGCTGTAAGTACTGAATTGCATGTGTTCTCGGATGCATCAAATAAGGCCATCGGGGCAGTAGCTTACCTAAGAGCAGTTCAAGAAGAAGGACAAACTGAGGTGGGGTTTGTTATGGCCAAGGCTAAGCTTGCCCCTCAGTCTGAGCCTACAATCCCCAGGCTTGAACTTTGTGCTGCAGTCTTGGCAGTAGAAATGGCAGATCTCATTCAAGAAGAGTTGGATGTGAAAATAGACGAAGTCAAGTTCTATACCGACAGTAAAGTGGTTCTTGGCTACATATGCAATGAGTCCAGACGATTCTATGTCTATGTCCACAATAGAGTGATGCGTATTCACCAGTCCTCAAAGCCAACTCAGTGGAACTATGTGTGCACGGATGAGAACCCAGCTGACCATGCATCACGGTCTGTGCCTCCATCTCAGCTAGCCCAGACTTCGTGGTTCAATGGACCCTCTTTTCTCTATCAATCACCTGAAGACAAACAGTGTGGAGGTGAGAGGTTTGAACTGATTGAACCGGAAGAGGACAGTGAAATCAGACCACAAGTTCAGACCTGTTCTACTGTTCTAGAGAAAGCTGCTCTTTCTACAGATCGCTTCAAGCGGTTTTCATCTTTTAGCTCCCTGTTGAGAGGAGTGGCATATTTGATCCACATGGTAAAATCTTTCAAGCGTTCCAACCACAAGATTGAGTGTGCAGGTTGGCATAAATGCAACTTACCCCGTTCTACTGAAGAAATAACTCAAGCTAAAAAAACCATCCTAAAAGCAGTGCAAACAGCAACTTTTGCAAAAGAAAGGTCAGCTCTACTGGCTAAGAAAAACGTGTCTGGCAATAGCCCTTTGCAGAAGCTAAGACCAATCTTAGAGGATGACCTGATTTGTGTTGGAGGCAGGCTGAAGTACTCTGAACTGACACCTGCAGAAAAGAATCCTGTAATCCTACCGAAAGATGATCATGTGTCACTCCTTCTAACAAGACATTACCATGAGCAGGTGCAACACCAAGGTCGTCATTTGACTGAAGGAGCCATAAGAGCAGGCGGCTTGTGGATATTGGGAGGCAAGTCTCTTGTAAAATCACTTATCCATAAGTGTATAACTTGTCGTAAACTACGTGGGAAGATGGCAGAACAACAGATGGCGGATTTGCCACCAGAGCGACTTGAGGTATGTCCTCCTTTTACCTATGTTGGGGTGGATGTTTTCGGACCCTGGACTGTAACGGCAAGGCGCACACGAGGAGGGCATTCAGAGTCAAAACGATGGGCAATTATTTTCAGTTGTATGACTTCCAGAGCTGTTCACATTGAACTAATCGAATCTCTGGATACATCTAGCTGCATTAATGCGTTGAGACGATTTTTTGCATTGAGAGGACCAGCAAAACAACTCAGATCTGATTGTGGCACAAACTTTATTGGGGCTTGCAAAGAGCTACAGATGGACACAAGAATGCAGAAGTACCTCACAGATCAGGAATGTGTCTGGGAATTCAACCCGCCTCATGCTTCTCACATGGGGGGTTCTTGGGAGCGGATGATTGGCATGGCAAGGAGGATTTTGGATGCTATGCTGCTCCAGCAAAACATCTCCTTGACTCACGAAGTCCTATGTACTCTAATGTCAGAAGTTACTGCCATTATCAATGCCCGTCCCTTGATGGTTGTTTCTACGGATCCTGGAAATCCTTTCATCCTATCACCTGCGATGCTTGTGACTCAAAAGGTTGGAGTCCCACCACTCCAGGAGATTTTCCTGATAAAGACTTGTTTACAAGGCAGTGGAGACAAGTACAAGCATTGGCAAATCAGTTTTGGACTCGCTGGAAACGAGAGTACCTGCCATCTTTACAACAACGTTCAAAATGGACAGTACCCAAAAGGAACTTAGAAATAGGAGACTTAGTTCTTCTCAAAGACAAGCAAGCTCCTCGCAACTGTTGGCCACTGGCAAGGATCACTGCCACATTCCCTGGACAAGATGGATATGTACGAAAGGTCGAGGTCACAACAGCAGAGCAAGGCAGACCAAGAACATATCTTCGACCTATCACAGAAGTTGTTTTGCTTCTGCCTAACGAATGATCTATGGACTAATGTTTGATGATCCGGCGGCATGGTGACCTCACAGAGGTCAGACGGGGAGTGTGCTGCTTTGACAGCATTTTTCTTTAATGTTTATGTATATTGTGTTTACGGACATTTTAAGTTACTTGTAACTGCAGCATATTCAAAGGCTTTTATTTTGAAGAATCCAGTTTGAGTAATTTCCGGTTGTTTTTCTTTGGGCTGCAGCAAGCATGGCTGAGTATTGTTGTGAGTTCAGCGTGTAATCCAGTGCCATCCACAAGAAATTACATTGAAGCAATGCTGTAAGTTACATTTTCTGTTAAGATGCATCTTACTTAAAATATATCTGATGTTATTTTGTTAAAATAACGTTAATTATTGTGATGGATGTTTTATCATCTATATAGTTTCCTCAACTGTAACTAAGATGTGTATTGTTTTGTACTCTTTTTGCCTGCAGTTTTCACCGCAGTTTGTGATGAAGGATGTCAACAGTAAATGGTCAAACTTACTTCACGACTTCATCTCGTCATTTTGCTGTGATTTAGCTCGGTGTTAACTCAGAGTTGCTACACTTTGACAAGAACACTACATACAGCGTGTTAGAGATGGATACCTCATACTGCTTTATGCATGTTAGAGCTTATTTCAGCTTCTGCCCATTGAGAACAAGTTTCAATACTTGGGTCTTTCAGGTTTACTGGTTTCCTGAAAAAGGCACGAAATGTGGTTTAACTTTGACAATACCTGCAGTCAAAGCAAAAGAGCAAACCACTGTGTACCGGCCACTAGCTTCCTTTCGTAAAGGCACTGCCAAAGACCATTTAAAAAAGTCTTCAAAAAGAGTATATCCACGATGTTAACTGAGCACGTTGCTGGTCCACACCTGACCAGCAGCCAGGTGTGGATAGTAGAAATGACCTGTCTTTACTGTAGTTATAGAGAAGCTTTTTATGAAAAAATATCTGGTTTACTATGAGAGCTGCAAGGTATAACAGATGTTAGCTCAGTTTCCTTGCAGCAGAAATGCTCCCAGTTCCAATCCCAGCCCCGTGCCTTAATGCCTGTAGTGGAAGGCATGATTTTGCTGTTCATTTGTGGTTCCAGAAATAGATATATTAAGCTTCCTTTCGTAAATTGATGGGCCAATTTAAATCAACACTGTATGTGTGTAAAGAGTTGTCTTCCAGTGTCACCAGATCAGAGAGTACCCTATGCCGCTCCGATTCTCCACCAGAGTCAGGCACCCGGCTCATTACGGGTATAGTAAGTGAATGATTGGATGTTTCACAATGTCCTTTTCCTCTCCATAGTACCGACTGTAAATATCTATTTCTGCACAGATGGAGGATGCTAATTAGTCCTGAGAAAACTGCTTCACCTCTACTTTATTCAAGTTTTGAGGAGGAAAGCGCTGTAAATTCTTGGTTTTACGGTGCTTCAGCATTCTTGGCCAGGCTAAGCATTCATCTTGTACTAAATAGATAGCTAAAACAAAGTGCTATCCAAAACTTTGGACAGTTTTTTTTTTGTGCTCATAGTCTTTTTCCCTACTAGTAACAACTGCACCTTACATCTCTTCATAATTCATAAAGCATGACTTGGCTCATTAAGGAGACAGACAAACACCACAGACAAGCCTCTGCTTTTCACAAAACTGACATCAGCCCGAGGAGATGGACCTAAAAAAACAATCATACACTGTATAAATAACACAAGGTTCTCTACCTTACACTGTTTGGCAATTCTGTGCAGGTATTAATATTTCAGCTACACTTTTCTATATTTCTATATAGCTCTCAAAAATGATCTTGACCTCTTTTTACACCTGAATGTTGATCAATTTAATTAAATTGGCTCATTCACCTTTATCAATTTAATTAAATTGGCTCATTCACCTTTACTAACGTAAACCGCAACAGATGTGAATTTAACGACACGCTGACTACGACTATTAATAGACCACAGCTTGAGAATCTTCCTTCCATTAGATAGGTTTGGCAGCCATTGTCTCAGGTTCATTTCCCAAAGAACTGTGTACAGTAGTTATCTTTGTAGGCAAACTTTCCCCAGAAGCTTATGCAAATTGACTTTCTCATCTGAGCGGTAACCTTGGATACGAGCAATTTATCCATTTTGGGTTGGTTTGGAGCTGAGCTGTTTTCTTGCAGAACAATGTGCCCACATTAGGTCATAATAATATTTCTCAGGAGGGGGTCTGCACGAACATGTTTGTTTCAATAGCATCATGGAGATGCCTCAGCTCCACAGAGCATGCACACCTCTTAAACTATTTCAGTACTACTTCAGTAAGTACTTCATTTGGTCCCTCTATGTCTTTGTCGTAATATTCCCTATGATCAGATAGAACAAGATACCAACATACTCGGTGGGGTAGAGAATGATCCTTGACCTGAAAAAGGAGGCAAATGTGAAAGCAGCTAAGACTCGAGGACCGGAATGAAGCAAAACCACAGAAAATGGGTGAACCTTGTTCAGATTAGAAAGAATGGGCTAACCTCACCAGTGAGTGCCTTGGTGATCCAGCCTCGGCTTGGCTGGGCTCAGCCTGAAATATGTGTGTGGTGGGTTATTGAGATTGGGTCCAATGGCTTAGACTTGGGTGTAATTTAAATCCATAACCATAAAACCACTTCTAAACTCTGAAAGAGTACTTCTGATGACTGCTTTTCGGACAAAGTCATTCCAAGAGGACCTTTCTGGTTCTTATGTTTTATGAAAATAAACACAGCCGGAGGACTCCACCTTCAAGAGTATTCTCAGCCAGTGACATCTGAGCAAAGTATCTGTTAACCACATTCAGGATGATTCAACACAAGGTACTTGGTTAAGCCCCAAAGCCCCCACCACACACACACACACACACGTACTAGCACATCAAAGACATTTATTAGCACACAACAGACGAAACTGCCCCCAACCTCTCTTTTCTTCTTGAGAACATCTGCTTGGTGTTGTGTTTGTGTCGGGGGTAGTGCTGCTTGGTGAGAAGCTGTGAATGTTCTGTTGTCTAAACACCTTATGAACTCTGTTTCCCATTACATTAGCAAAGTGCCTCAATTAAATTGGCTCATTCTTACATTTTGGAAAGTACTCCCAGAAGCCGAAGAGCCGTCCGCTGATCAGGCAATTGCTAACTTGTTGTCTTTTCCTATAGCTTTATTAGAGCGATGTTAATTGGTTAAAATGCATGAAATTACTTGTGAAAATGTCAAAGACCGGCCAATGATTTCCTCCCAGCTTTTGTGTACAAAGTATTGAAGTGAGTGGCGGTGTAAAATAAGGATGAAGTAAGACAGAAACTTTTGTAAGGCTTGCGTGAGATTACCAGCTGCTTATGTGCTCTTGGTTGAGCAATGTTGGACTCTGTTTGGTGATGTGAAAGTATCAGTCAGAAAGTCCACTTCTCAGACACAACCACAAAAACAGGAAGAGCTGAGTGTGAAGTTGGACATCTGACTATCCCTCTGTTCTACATTTAGCTCTCACTCCTATGTCAGGCTTCAGTAGGTCTGAATTAATTAATAAGCCATGTCTTCTATAGTGCCTCTCCCACATTTTGCCGAGAGAGCTATTAAAAGGCAGCCATAAGAAATTTGTCATGTGAAGAAGCAGCTCACATTAGACGAGGCCATGTTTATCACATAAAATCCCAATGAAAGACATTGACCTCTTTGATTCTTAACAATAACAAAAGGTAAAAATGCTTTGCTTAGACAGTGTCTTAGTTTGGTAAGGGTGCTGATGGTTTACAAGAACACAATCATGAACACTGAGCTCTGATGAAATTCTAGCTTTCTCTTTAAGCTTAAAGCAAAAGTGAATGCCTCTTTAAAGTTCTCTAGCATCTGACACCAAGATGGTGTCCTCTTTTACCATCGGCCTATTCAAATATTAACAATGACCACAGTGGGAAGACTTCATCAACTGGACTGCCCCGAGAACCACTCCCATGAACTGGCCAGAAAAGGGCGCCACGTCTTTGTAACCCCAGCTGTGGCACCGTAATAAACTGTGGAGAAGCATTGCACAGTAACATTTGGTCTTCAGCTCCTCTACCATGTCGCCATCCCCCGGGGTGGGCTGCCACAAGCTTTGGTCTGGGCAGAAGACCTCTAGACAATAGACTCTCTGTTCCCCCAAACACATACAAACACAGATAAAGTGACAATTCAAGCATGGCTCATTAAATGTTGCCCTTTTGTCCAGGCTTCAGCCCCAAAGTAGGTGTCCCTAACGGACAATTTCATGTTCATGAAAGTATTCAAACCCTTTGAAATGTTATAGCCACAAAGTTCAGTCTACTTTGTTGGGTTTTATGCTTACAACAAAGTTGTGCATATTTTGAAGAGGGAGAAACGTGATAAATGACTTTGCACTTTCTTGAACCTACCTGATGAGTGCCTGAGGCAGGGTCTTTTGGGGAATGTCTTCATTTGCTTTGCACATCTAGAGACAGAAATATCTGCCTTTCTTCTTTGCAAAACTTCAAGCTCAGAGTGAACATCAATCAGAAAGGATTCCCCACAACATGAAGCACCCACCTCCATGTGGAGTGTGTGATGCTTTTTGTCCACCAATGTTCTCTGAAAAACCTCTGAAGCCTGTGATGAAAAGGTTTATTTATACTGACATTAGCTCACTGCTAGTGACCATCAATCACTCTTGATTTCCTGTAGGGGTATCATAGTAGAGCGGTGTGACTGCAAATGCATTCGACACTTTCCAAAACCGACAAAAGGAAACGGTCAAAGGTTATGGCTCCTTTAGCAATGCATGGCAAGATAAGGACAGACGCACACGCAACTAAGTGAAGGTGCATCAGGAGCAAAGTTTTGCAAAGTACCATTTCTGTGCTCACACCTACGCCTCTGATAACCACAGAAAACCAAAAACCATAACATTTCCGTCCCCTTAACAGCACAGTGGCAAATGATGATCAACAATCACCCACACACTTTGCAAAATAAAATAAAAAAATACACAGATGCACATCCCTGCCCCTCTGTGATTCACTTTCACACTTTGCGGACAGAAAAAGTCACTCTGCCGCTGAAACAATGTCAAACACAATGCGACCCT